GGGTTTCTCATTCAGCGGGGACTGCTCGCACTTTTATTAAGTCCGGGCTTTTTCACTGGGAGGAATCATCTGTTTGGTTATTTTTCATCGTGTTTATTTTTCACCATTCACACAGTACTTGTATTAAATAAACAAAGAACAATCGCTCTGCAAATAAAAGTACTTAGGTGGGGAGAGAAGGAAAAGAAACGGGGGGGGGGGCTTGGCCCCCAGCCCTCTCCCTCCCTCCTGACACTCTCACCCCCCACCCCCACTAGGCGTTCTCTTCTCTCTTTCTTTCTCCTTTCTCTCCAGGAGGTTCTAGGAGGAAATCTTAATAAAGGGTGGATGGACGTGTGTGTTAGAAAGAGAGAGAGAGAGAGAGAGAGAGAGAGATACACCTGTGTCCTATGGCAATGATGTGGATCTATGTGTTTGGTGGGGGGGGGTGTTTGTTTGGTGTTTTTTTTTCTTTTGGGGGCCACACCCAACAGTGCTCAGGAGTTACTCCTGGTGGTGCTCAAGGAGCTACGTGGGATGCCAGGGATTGAGCCCGTGTCAGCTGTGTACAGTCCTGCCCAGCCTCAGGGAGACTATGTGCATTTCTGGGGAAGGGAATAGGCCCCAACTTCCTGCAAGTGTGTTTTAGCAGAACCATCTCCAATACTGCAGATACCCCCCGTTCCCTCAGGGGCTCCCCTGGCCTGCACATGATCCAGGGATCCTGTGTCTGGCTTGCTGACTGGCTTGCCTATGCCATGAAAGCAGTAGTTTGAATTTCAAAGAACACATCTTTCAATCTTCCAGGCCTGGCCAGGCAGCAGGAAGATGCATGCATGTGAGCACACACATGGTGGAAAGGGGGGTTTGTGCATGGACGCTGTGGGCCTGGATTTCTGTGAGCTTCAGTTCCAGGAGAGAGTAAGTGTTAGCACCACAAGGGCTATTTTACTGGAAAGGGGGAGTCTCTTTCCCAAGCTCTCCACTCCACTGCCCCACTCCACAGAGGTGGGTATCCCTGGCTAAATGTCTATCTTGGTAGATTTGGGGGAAGTAGAATGGACAAGGAGCCTGTGTGTTGGGACAGGCTAGAAATATTAATAAGTGTCTGCTTTACTGTGTTTGAGCATCCCTGTCTCTGAGTTAAGGGAATTACTTGAGAAGCCAGATGTCTCCTCCTATTCCTCCCCAATTGTATGTCTGAACCAAACTCCTCTTAAAAACTATTTCTGGGGTTTCACAGAGGTGATAGCAAGATAGAAGGAGGTGATTCACTGATAAGATGGAGGAACCTCAAGACCCTTCTCCGAAAGGCAAGAAAGCCAAGACTACAGCTGGGGTAGTTTACCAGGAGGTAGGGCCTCCTTTCCTGTCTCCAAGGCTGTCCCCCATGTGTGGCCATCTATAATTCCTTAAAAGAATGGAATTCCCTCCCTGCAGCTCTTTCTCTCTACTTGAGATTTTAGGAGCACTGGCTTTACCAAAGAGCATCCTGAATGGGGAAACACACGCATAAATGCCAACTAATGATGTGTTTCAAGATTCTCCTAGCTTGGAAAACAAAGGTATATGATTTAAAGAGTGTCTGTGAGGGCCACATTTGGCCCAGGACAGATGAAGTCTTTTGATGATCGCCAACTTAGTGTCAATAAGTGCTTTTCTTTGAGACATATTCAGATGGGACCGTCTTGCTTGCCAATTGCCATAGAAATCTTAACACACCATGAAGATTGTCCAAGCGCCAAGCCTTCCGTTCTGGGCGAAATTACTTTGAAGTGGCGCAGGACGAGCAGTGGTCAATTTTAACTCTATAGACTGGACAGAGAGGGCTGGGAGAGAGAGATTGTGCATTTTCAAGCAGAAAATAAGAAGGGGAAACTTGTTTTCTCCACTCTATACAAGGTTCTGCTCATTGTCAGATCTTTCATCTTTTATATTTCCCATGAATGATTCATGTCTCCGTGGCTTTGTGCCACCCTCCCTTTCAGCAGAAACTTCATTAGGGAGCTATAAGTTTTCCCATTGATCAGGGCCCATGTATGACTGTTTTTCTCCTTCGTGTGCTGGCTATTGTCTTAGGCTTCAAACAACTCTTTGCAAACTGTTTCACCTTGACTACATTTCACAAACCTGACTTTTACAAACTACCAGAACCTTCTGGAGAACTGTTCAGTGACTTCACTACCAATGGTGTATTTTGGGATTATAATTAAAAAAAAAAACCTGTGCCTCTTATAGGTTTTGTATTAGCACAATTTGAAAAAACACAAGAAAAAAAAAAAGCAAACCTGAACTCTTGTGACTCTTCAGTGGCCAATTACGTCCCTTTGAGTCACTTGCATATTTCGTTATAGTTAAAGAATTTAATTGCTTCAATATACTGGCCTCCAAATGCTAATATACGTGCACTCGCTTCCAAATAAACAGTAAAATAGATTCTGCTTCCCCAGTATAGGAAGAGGCATTTGAAGTCCTGAATTCAACCTCACTCTGGAGTGGTTTAGCTCAATACTCAGCCCAGTTCCTGGTCTGGCTTTCTCCTTCTTTGTGTCTGAGTCCCTCCCTCCATTTGTTCCTTATTCTTTTGGACCCTTTTATTTTAGAGGCACTTAAGAAAAGCTCTTTTTCCCTTCGCAGTTTTTGTCACTGTTTAGGACCACTAAGGATATTAATTTTAATAAATGGATGCTGTAACCCTCTAAGACTTATGCTGGTGTTAGGTGCAACCTGCAGGGTTTACTCTTCATAAAGGCTCTGTATTTTCTAGATTAGATTACAAATTGGATCTAGCTGTAAAAAGAAGTTTCCTGCTTGAGGAGAAGCTAGGAAATAAAAGATCACAAAACTAATGCTCACTAATACAGCATGGTCTGTTGGTAAGAGAAAGGCAAAGATGTGCCTCTGTGTAAAACATAAGTACGGCGTAGGAAGAATAACTTTATTCAATTTTTAACTTCATATTCATTTTGCTTTCTATGAGAGGTACACAGTTTACACTTTTCCTTTAGATGATAAGGAACCAATCAATTTGTGGTGAAGAATTAAACCTGTGCCTGGCAAATTACATAAAATACATATTCCTTTGTTTCATAATAAATAAACCTGTAGCATAATAAAGAATAGTGCAAACTACCATTGAAAAAGTTGTATAAATAAGACAACTTATGACCAACCAGGAATATTTTGTTCTATTAAGTTTACGATACATAAATTATCCCCCCCCCCCAAATAAAGTTCATACCTTGGTCTTCTTGGTCTATGTGAAAAGAGTTTTCAACAAGAATCATACGAATAGCAAACGTTAAAAAATGTAGAATTAATTTATATTCAAGTCTTATGTTCTTTTTCTTTATAAAGGAGGGTTCGGCTTGTTTCATATTCACTGCAACAATCTGAGGACAACATGGAAAGGCTTTCAAAGTGACAGCACCATGCACTGTTCTATATAATATCTATAAACTATGTATAATCTCGTCAACACAATGCAAAAACACATGCAGGAAGAGTCCTGATCTTCACATTACATTGTTCATTCAAGTAAGCTTAAAAATATAACTCCCATCTTTCCTTTTTTTCTTTTTAAATAAACCATGGACCATACATGACAATTTTTCACCAAAATGTATAATAGAATTCTTTGGTGTGCTTTGAACTCTTCCGGGGGGGGGGGGAGGGATGATGTCTGAAAATAAATTAATTCAACTGTACAAATAATAGTGTTCACATACAAGTTATTAACAATGACAAGGCTACGTCAGCCACTCACAGCACACAAATTTCTACAAACCCTGGGGAAGGGGGCTGTCTTCAGAGTCTCTGAGGAAAAATCAGTGCTCTGGACTATATCTGTATGATGTTTATGATGAACTTACGTTTTGCACATGAGCTGTGTTGTATCAACGGAAAATAAACTGACCAAGAGTTATTGTTGGGGTCCTTGACCTTTTTTGTTCAGATTTGACAGCTCTAGCAAGGGTCACACACTCATCAGTTGTTTGGTGGTAACTATAAACCTTTTAAAAATTTTAATAATGTATGGCCACTCCCTCCCCTCTTTTAATGTAAATTATACACTTTACACAGTCATTTTCAAATGGTGATGGAGCTCCCTGTGCTCAGAGCTCTCTGGGAGGAAGGAAAATGCATTCAAATGCAGTTTCAGGCATTGAGAAAGAAAGACTTTTTGAAAAGGTGGATACAACAGCATAAAAGAAGGGCTGGCCTGTTTTTTAAAAAAACAACAGCTTTCAAAACAACCACCACCAAAAAATAGGCCGGATGCCAACATCACACTTCCTTAGCCTGGCCTGTTGGTTTTGGCATCCCAAAGAATTTCTGATCTAAAACATCATTTCTTTATTACACAAGAAGTTTGAACACAGTGAAGGAGGCAGCATCTGAGAATTTAGATTTAAAAAAAAAAAACCTGCTAGAGGAAAAAGGAAGCTCGTGAATGTCTTCTATGCTATAAAATGTCAGTTTAGCAGTTGTCTCTGGCAGACCTCTCCTCCCCCTCTCCACTTCTGTTCCTGGACAATCACAGTAGCACACGATATGGAGATGGATTAAGGTTGCTGCATCTTAAGTAAGCAGGGCACTGAACAAAATCATCCTGTATAAAAATAGTGTTAAGGGGGAGATTGGTAATTTTTTTTAAAAACGAACATTTAAATTTAACATTACAAATATTCGAACTGAAAGGGCTTTTACAAACGCGGGTAGACACAGGTACAGTCCAAGATCTGTTGGCAATGCAGCAAGTGTGTGGTTTACAATCAAGAGGCCTTTGCAGAATCAGGGCCCCAGAAGGAGGTAAAGAGACTCTGGGACAGCCGGTTCTGGTGTCAAAGGCAGCTGAGAGGCAGTGCAGGAAACGCAGAGGGCCTGGTCGCAGTGCTGAGTTCCGCCAAACATTCCTCCTTTCTCCCTCCCTTCCAAATAGATCTGGACCGCCACAGCAGTGTGGATCTCCATGAACGAATTCTCTCTCCATTCATTCTCCTTGGTACAATTTGCCCTGCCACGTACAAGTCCAGCCTGGTTAGGTGTATTCATTTGTTTGCTAAGAAAAAAAAGAGCCCAAATATCTTAATTAAATTAATTAAAACGTCCAAACACCATAGGGTTTCATACTGAATAAATAGGGCTCATTAGAGTTGGTGGCCAGTCCTGGGCTCGGGCTCGTCTCAGGTCAGGACGGAGTCTGGGGACTGCCACTTCTTTGCGTACCGATCATCATCACCCATCGAGTCTAACGGACTGTCCGAACCACCTCCGAGTTCTCGTACATCTCCTCGTCTTCAGACTCAGACGTGGTCCCGTTGCTGGAAGGTGGACGGAGGTGGCTGGGGGCCCCGCTGGCCTGGCAGACATACCACTCATTGAGGTTGGTCACTTGAGGGGACAGGGTGCTGGAGTGACTCCTGGTTGGGTCCAGGCCTGGGGAGAGGGGAGCTCCCACAGGCGTGCCCACTGCAGGGTACCCCAGGGCCCCTGGAGAAGGGGGCGGTGACTTGCAGTGCACTTTCATGTGTTTCCTCAGTGAACTGGGATGCGTATAGGACTTGTCACAGCCCCGGATCTTGCAGTAATACGGCTTGTCACTGGTGTGGACGTGGGAATGTTTCTTCCGGTCACTGCTGTTGGCGAACTTCCTGTCGCAGCCGTCAAATTCACATTTGAAAGGCTTTTCCCCTGCAATGAAACAGGGGAAAGGTGAGCGGCTTTCCTAAGATCTCTGGCTTGAGAGAGATATCCAGGCACCAGGTTGAGGATGAGCTTCCCACTGTCGCGCAGCCTGACTCCAGCCTCAGCTGTGTGGGTCTGGAGGCCCTTAGTGGACCTGGGCTTGGCAGCTCTGGGATCTGAGCCCCCTGAGACCAGCGAGGTCACAAACCCAAATCCTGGGGGTCCTCACTCCCCACAAGGCTGCACGTCCCCAAACACAAGCACAGCCCCCTGTTGGGATAAAGATTGATAAAAGTAACCCTCTTCCCCCAGACAGTGAGGGGGAAGAACATAAGAAAATGAGAAGAAACACATAAGCTACATTGTAAGTGGGAATTCAGGGGCCAGGGATGTGACCCAGTGGCACGGCACTTGCCTGGCACAGATGAGGCCCTGGGTTCTATTCCCAGCACCAGCTGGCCCTCTGAGCACTGAGCTGGGATTAGACCTCCAAACACTGGCTGGTATGATGCGCGAAAACAAACTCGAGTGAATGCAGGTGAATGTAGTCATGTAAGGCCATCTTGTTCCAGAATCTTCCAGGATTTCACCGAGGGGGAAAGACAGCCAGAGAGGAAAAAGGAAAGCAAAGGAAAACCTGCTCTTTTCAGAAATGAAGGCCCCTATGACACAATCAAGTCACCACTGGGTTTGTTTTACAGACTGCCCTGCCCAGCCAGTACAGATAAGAAAACTTATCTGTTTCTCTTGAGGGACCACGAGGGTCTGGCAGAATCTCAGCCTTGTCTCACCCACGGCCTAAATCATTTGTCTGATATGAACATTGTCAACACTGCTTCAGCTCCCCCTCAAAACCCCCCGCCCCCCACTTCTGGCTCAAGACCCCTTTCACATTCTCTCCTTCCAAGATTCTCAGTGAAGGAGGCAGAAATGTAGCCACTCTCTGCCTGGTCAGGAAAAGCACAAAAGAAAGTGGGGTCACGAGAGGCATGTGCCCTTAGAACTGCCATAGTCACACACTTGATGCATTTCATTGGCGTTTCTGCTATAACTGATCGGTGTAGCCATGTAGACTTTCCTCCTATTTCAGGGGGGAAAAAAAACTCAAGTGGCATGTCTTCCTTTTCCCAGCAACTTTTCTGGTGAAATAAAATAGGGTCTTTCTCCTGATTTGTGGGTCATTTATTTAAAAACACGACGAAAATATCCGAATATCCTAAGTTTTGTGATATTTTTTCTTTTCAAATATTTCAAGTTAACATTACATTTTTTTTTTTTTCAGCAGGGCCAGAGCAATAGTACAGGGGATAGGGCGCTTGCCTTGCAGGTGGCTGACCTGGGTTCGATCCCTGGGATCCAATATGGCCCCCCACTTACATCACCAGGAGTAATTTCTGAGTGCAGAGCCAGAAGTAACCCCTGAGCACAGCCAGGTGTGGCCTCCCCCCAAAAAGGCGGAAAACCCAGCAAATGTAACTGTTCCAAGTTACATTTAAATATGTTAAATATGCTTGTAGCACAGTATCCAGAAGCTTGGACTCTAACTTGTTCCAGCTGGACATAGTTTAGCAATGAAATTAGATATTATCCCAAAATACCTCCTACCATGATGGACGATCAGAGGGGAAAAACAGGGTGTTAATCCCAACTTGAAAAATATTCTGTGGAGGAGGGGCTGCAACCAAATTTAAAGTTTTGAATCAGATCATCTGTGATTTGCCCTGAAGTGGGTATAATATTTTCCATTTGGAAATAAACCGCTGATTTAATATAGCACTGTCCTTCAACCCACTTTTTACCCTAGAGGCGGAAACAGTTTTGCAGACGTGCTGTGGTTTCCCCGCTTCTGCAAATCCCGACTGGGAAGAAAAGGAGGATTTGCGCGAGGCTGGCTGCACCGCTGAGCCGCAGAGATCCAGGAAGAGAAAGGTGGAAGGAAAGGCGTGAAAGGAGAGATCAAGGACAGATGGGGCTGCGGGTTTCAGTCAGGGAGAGGGCAAGAGAGCCCAGTGTTTTGACATCAGTGTGTGAGGGAAACGAGTTGGACAATAAAGGAAGGTCCCAGCGAGGGCCTACCTACCAGTCCCCTGTTCTGGAGAACCAGTTCGGAAGAAGGCTATAAACAGAATCTGGGGCTCGTGGGTCAAAACACAGGCCTCAGGGAGTGGCTGCGGGATTACTTATTCCCTTTGCGCCATCTGTTCCAGGATCCCGGATAAGCCCAGGACAGAGAGCGGCCAGGCGAGGCGCGGGGTCCCAGTGGATCCCTTTCTGGACACCAACATGGCTCAGGGGCCGTCAAAGGCCCCGGGCGCTCGCCAACCTCCCCCAGGGGATTCTGCAAGGGCCGGGCTCAGTCACCTCAGCCTGGGCCCGACCACCAGTCCCCTTCCGCGCCCAGGGCGTCCCCGCGGTTCCCCCCTCCCCTTCGAAGCACCAATTTCCAGTCACATTTTTTTTCGGGGCGGGGGGAAGGGGCCATAAGGACCGCAAGACACAGAGCCGCTTTGAGTTTCCCCTGGTGGCGGAGCTCAGGGGTGGGCTTCACTCGCACGCACCCCGCCCCCCCACCCTGGCTGACACTGCTGGGCACCAGGGCAAGCGGCGGGCTGTGCCCGCTGGGGAACTTTTACGAGCGTCTCGGGAGGAATTTCCTTGTGGCAAAAATTAAAAAAGGCAGGCGAAACCCGGTTACAATGTCACGGGGGTGGGGGCGGGGGCGCAAGGAGTTCCCGTGGCAAGGTCCGCCCAAGGTGATCTCGGCAGCCCAATAAGGCCCACGGAGAGCGCGCGCGGGCAGGAGCCAGCCTCAAGGCTCCTGGCCCAGGCCAGCACGACCCCCGTTCTCCGAACGTCCCGGGCCCCCTTCGCTGCCTCCTCGCCGCCGCAGCGCCGATAAATCAGTCGAGTAATTACTGCGTGTAAACTCGAACCACTAAGTGTCCTCCGAGGAGCGATACGCCTGTCCCTATAAATCCCGGCTGCGCTCCCCGGCGGCGCCCGGCCCAGCGGAGTCACCTCGCCGAACCACGCACCAGTGGCCCTTGTCCAGAACTTCCCGAGCTCCAACCGTCCCGCAAGGCCAGGCAGGGCGCCCTCTTCCCACTCCAGCCATTACCCAAAGGGCCAGAGGCTACTATCCTCAACAGCTCCCTCCTTAGAGGGCGTGAGAAAGTGCGGGTGCGCGAGCGTGTGCGTGAAAGTGGGTGAACTGCGCTAGAGAGAGAGAGAGGCTGTCGATGCAAAGGATGGAGGGCCCGTGGGTGTCCCGGGAATACAGTAGTGTGGGTGGAAACGCGCCGCGAAGTCTGTGGGTTTCGCGTACATGTGAAGATGCGCAGGTGTGCGTGGGTGTGGACTGGGAGGGCGCTGGGGGTGGGGGCTGGAGGCCGCATTTCTCTCGACTCCTGCACCCCCGCCCGGGCGGGACACGAGTCCCCCTCCCCTTCCGGGAGGGGGCCACAGCCGAACTGGGCCTTGCTGGCCGAAAGACCGCAGGCAAATCCCACGCACGCGCCCCTCGCGAGGCCGCCCTCAGAGAGCGCGGGCACCCGGCGCGGGCCCTGCCACCGGGGTGGGGCGCGCGGAGCCGCCGGGGCGATTCCGGCTCCGGCCCCCCTTCCCCATCGCCCTCCCCAGGTTCCCGGGGCCGGGCGGATGGGGGCTGCCGACCGTCCTGGGCGCCTTCGTGCTCCTGCGGCGGCTGCTTCTGCTCCCGGGCGGCGGCGGCGGCGGCTGGAGCGCGTGGCCGGTCGCGGCGGCGGGGTGCGGGCGCGCTGGAGACGGCACGGTGTGGGAACCCAGCGCGGGGCCTGTGTGTGCTATCGAATTACTTATTCATAGAAAAAAAGGGGGGGGAGAGAAAAAAAAGAAGTCACATGTCCGGGTTATACGTATGCGAAGAGAAGCAGCAGAAGGAGGGAAAAATTTAGGCGAGCGGGGGGAGGGGGAGGAGGAGGAGGAGGAGGTGGAGGAGGAGGAGGAGGAGGAGGTGGAGGAGGAGGAGGAGGAGGAAGAGGAGCAGCGGCGGAAGCGGCGGCGGCGCAGGAGGCGGCGGCGGCGGCGCGGCCGGGGACAGACACCCACCTGTATGAGTGCGCTTGTGGATCTTGAGGTTCTCGGAGCGCGCGAAGACCTTGCCGCAACCGGGGAACGGGCAGGGGAAGGGTTTCTCGCCCGTGTGCACGCGGATGTGGTTGATGAGCTTGTATTTGGCCTTGAAGGGCTTGCCCTCGCGGGGACAGTCCTCCCAGAAGCAGACGTGGCTGCTCTGCTCGGGGCCGCCCACGTGCTCCACGGTGACGTGGTTCACCAGCTCGTGCATGGTGCCGAAAGTCTTGGAGCAGGGCTGGGCGGCGGCGGCCGGGGGCGGCGGCGGCGGCGGCGGCGGCCTGGCCAGCTCGTCGGGGTCGATCCACTTGCAGATGAGCTCCTGCTTGATTGGCTGCCGCATGTAGCGCAGGAAGGCGCCGGCCGCCCCCGGGAGGTGGGGGTGGTGCGGGTGCGGGTGCGGCGCGGCCGCGGGCGGCGGCGGGGGCGCCGGGGGCGGCGCGTGGTGCGGCTGCAGGTGGGGCCCGGGCCCCGCCGCCGCCGCCGCCGCCGCCGCGGCCGCCGCCAGGTTCAGGTTTAAGTTCACGGCGCCGTAGCCGTGCAGGGCGGCGGCCGCCGCGGCCGCTACCGCCCCGTAGTGCGCGTCCCCCGAGCGCGGCGCGAAGGGCGGCTCGGCGCGCCCGTACAGCTCGGCCGCCGCGGCCGCCGCGGCCGCCGCCAGCCCCAGGCGCATCTGGCCGTTGAGCGGGTGCGGAGGCGCCCCGGGGGCGCCCGGCGCGTCGTGCAGCACCGGGAAGAGCGCCGGGCCCCCGCCGCCGCCGCCGCCGCCGCCGCCGCCGTCCGGGCCCGCGTAGGTGCCGCTGGCCGAGATGAACATGCCGGCCGGGTGGGGAGGCGGGGCCGGGGGCCGGGGGGAGCCGCCGCCGGGCCGCTGCTCCCCTCCGAGCGGCGCCCCGTGCATGGCCTCCGCGGGGGCCGTGGCGGAAAGGTCCCTCCGGAGGACGAAGTCCCTGCTGTGGCCTTTGCCGCTGCTGCCGCCGCCGCCACTGTTGGTGGTGGTGTAGCCCGAGAGGGCAGGAGGAGAAGGGGGAGGGGGCGAGGGGGAGGGAGGAAGAGGAGGGGCCGGGGGCGGGGGCGCCGAGGGCCGCGCGCCGCGGCTGCCCCCGCCGCCCGGGACGGTGCCCGCGCCGGGGAGCGCCGCCGGGGCCGCGGGCTGGGCGGGCGGCGCGTGGGACGCAGGGCTGAGGCCGAGCGCGCTCGCCTGGGCTGCATGCTCGGGTCCGAGCGGAGGGAGGGCCGCGCCGGGGTCAGCGCCCGAGTCCCGAGGGCGGAGGCTGGCGGCCGCGGCGCGGAGTTGGGGGTGGGCGGGCGGCGGGAGTGGACTGGCCAGTGCCGGGAAGCCCGTCACGGTCTGCAGCGGCCTGGCTTGAGCCGTTGCCAAATCCGCTAATCTCAGCGCTGGCGGGGTCCTCTTGCTCAAAGGGGGCTCCATCAGAACTACACAATCGGCCCCACAGGCCCTCACTGGGGGCACCTTTCTCCCTCTGGCCTCCTTCAGAAACATGTATGTACTCGGCGCTCTTTAACTTCTTTGTCTTGGCCTCCTAACTCGGCTCATTCCCGTTCCCACTCTGTCCTCCGGCGATTGGCAGAGCGCACAGCGCAGTCAGGCTGCACAGTGGGGCCGAGATTTGGGAAATGGCACGGGTGGGATTGGTGGGAGGCGCGTGATTGGCAGCAGCCCCGGCTGCCCGATTGGCTCTCTTTCAGGGCTCCGGCGCAGCGGGGATCCGCCCCGTTGCTGGCAGCCGCCTTCCCTTTCGTGGGGCGCCCCCTCTCCCGCCAGCCCCGCGTCCCCGCCTCTCCGGGGTTGCCCAAGTTGCACTTGCAGAAAGTTTGCGCCCAACCTTTGCGCGCAGAGTCCCCGCGCTTGCGGGATGCGCCTTGCACGGAATGCACACTGGCACGCGGCTGGTGTCCACACGCAAACACACACACACACACACACACCCGCGCGCACGGACTGTGTGGCTAGAGGCAAGTAAGTCTCCCAACCTCAAGGACTCCCCTTTCTAGCGCGGGGCGACCCTTCCAGCACCGTAAGCTTTCTGCCCCCATCCTCGACTTCTTTCTACACCGGGAGAGCGAAAGCGTGCATGGCCTGGAAGCGAGGCTGGAGACTTTCTCTTTGGAAAGGACCCGCAGTCGGCCCACCGGGGGCGCACCGACCCGAGACAGAACGACGAAGGACATTTAAGTGCTTAAGGGTGCAAAACCATGGGAGCGCTTTGTCTCCAGGAAACCCCAGGTGAAAGCAAAAGCAGTCTTTAGGGAAAGAATCCGCTTTCCCTTGACTTTTTTTTTCCTTCAGCTCTTGGGAGTCTTTCAAAGTTGGCTCCCACCTCCTTCAAAGTTGGCTCCAAGAGTGATTGGTTCTAGATCTGCCACTTTAAATGCGCTCAACTTGGCGGGCAGGGGTGGGGAGAGGCGGCTAAGTGGCGGATGGGGGACATCTGCCAGGTTCTAACTTTCTCGCCTGTTGGACATGCAGTGGCAAGGCAGGCCAAACAGCTTTGCTCCAGAAGGAAGTGGCAAAATACACAGTTCTTGGGGGGCCAGAATGATAGTACAGCGGGTAGGGTACTTGCCTTGCACACGGCCAAGACAGATTCCATCCCGGCATCCCACGTGGTCCCCGGAACCCGGAGGGAGTGATCCCTAAGAGTAGAGCCAGGAGTAAGCCCTGAGCACTGCCGGGTGTGAACCAAACTCAAATATAAAACTAATAAAGTATTTTTGAAGCTGCAGCTTTTCTCCTGGTCCAGAACACATGCCACATGTATGTCATGCCTCAGTTTCCTCAAAGGACCACATGTGAAAAATGAAACCAATAAAAATTACAAACATCAATCGCTTTGCTATTTATTTGCCTTTAGAACAACTGTTCACTTTCTTGTTTTCTAAAAGACTGATCCTATGGGGAAGATACCTTATTTGAAAGCCATCAAAACTAGCTTTAAGGAAATGCCAAAAACAAGTGCCAATCCATTCCAGGCACTTGTTATCCAGTTTCTGTTTAAAAAGCACTTGGTCCATGTCACTTGGACAGAAAGCAAGGGAATGAGACATCTCCAGAAATTTTACTCCCCCACTCCCACAGAGTTATTCCAATTTCTGGAAAGAATATGACCTTCACTTTTTGGATGTTTGAAGATGCTCCACAGCATTAGAAAGTAGGGTTTTTCTGGCAACTTTTTGCCCAGGCAGAAAACTATTTGTTATTAAAAGGTGAGGATGGGGGAACTGGTTTTAATTTTTTAACCTTTAAGGATACAATGTTACTAGCTTAATTCGTTTGCAATCACCACATAAAGGCATCATCAGGGAGATAGTACAGGAAAGTATGAAGAATCCATTTCAAAAGAGCTGATTTGATGTCTCCTTTATGTAGCTTCAAATGATGTTTTAAAAAGGAACATCCCTGCGTGCTTCAGGGATGTCATTTTTCTTGTAAAACTGACGAGTAAACAAAGAAAATACAACCATCCATTTTTAAATGAGCTTTCTCTTTCAGCGCCCATGAAGTTTAAATGTGGGGAAATAAGAAAGTATGACACAATAAAAATTCATGACACAATGAAAATTCTGCACAGAACAACAGTGACAAAATTCACATCTGTATTTGGAGAGGATGAGCAGTTTCTCGATTCTCCATTTAAAGATTTCTACTGTTTCAGGGTAGCCAGGCAAAGGTAAAGAGAGAGGACAGTGGTGCCATCTCCCCAGGGAGTTGATGGAGCTGGCCTCGTACTTGGAATGTCCCCACCGACTTCTTCGTTTCCTCTCCGAATATTTCAGACGAGTGCCTCTACTTTAATTCTTTGGCAGTGAGCAGCAATACTCCCATAACGGCGGCTTTGCCTTCAACCCTGCAGGTTCTAAGTAAAAGCATACCCCCCCAAAAGTGGATGAATAAAGAAAGAAGAAATTAAACACAAGCGAACCTTTAATATGGACTGTTGAGCATTTTATTGTGCAATAAAGTGGGTACCTCTACCCCCTTCAAAATGGCTTTTCCTCAAAATTATAACTGCTTTGTTTTATTGAATTGCTGAAATTTAATGGTTTAATGGGTGAAGGCATGAAGGAGAGGCTGTAAAATATGTGAATAATGGTGGAGCAGACCCGTGAGGAATCTCGGATCCGCCTCCTTGTACAACTCTTGTTAAACACAGCGTGATATGTATCTGTCATCGATTTAATATGTCTTAATTCAAATATAGCTCCCTGATCAATTTCTTTTTATGGAGGCCTTAAAGAAAAAAAGAAAAGAAAAGAAAACACTTTCGATAGAGATTTAGGTAGTAATTGCAAAGAAGGATATTTCCAAAGTGACTTTAAAGAATATTTGCAAATTTATGACCCTCCCCAGACTCTAAAAAGATAATTGACTCAGGTAAACGGACTTGAGATGCTAATTCTGTAAAGAAAGAAGTGGGAGAGAAATTTCAATCAACACCAATAAGGCGCCAATAAACCGCCTGCCAATTAAACCTGAGAATAGGCCTGGCTAGATGTATTTCCTGGATTGCCTTTCTTTATAAAAGAGCTTTTTATTTTGTAGGCGCGCTTTTTGTTATTGTGATGACCCGCCTGAACCCAGGTGCGCTGTTTCTTTTTCAAGCCCTTTGGGAGCCAAATCAAACCCCCTTCACATCGCACCCGGAGCTTCTAAGGACCCCTGACTTCCTAAACAAACACTTCCTAAACAAACAGCAACAATTTCTAGGGCGTTAAAGAAAATAATAATAATAATAATGTGTGTGTTTTTAAAAGCAGGGAGCTATAGAAACCCTTATGCCAGTTCTGCAAATTGAGCCCCATTATCTCGGGTGTGGTGCCACTGGGCAAGGCTTTTGCAGCTGGTGCGCCGACCGCAACGTGACAATCCATGCAAATGCCCTTTGCGCCAACAGGTGCCCTTGAGGGAGCAGCGATTTCCAGGCTTCTCGGTTGCACCCCAAACCCCCCAACCTCCTCCCATTTCGGAACAAAAGCGCCGGGAGGCTCCGGGCGCAGAAGAAGAGTCGGCGCCGATCGGCCGGAACCCGGCGCGCAAACCGCGCTCTGCGGCCGCGCTGCAACCCGACCCGGTCCCGACGCTGCCCAGGCGGGCGCCTTCAGCTTCCCGCCGCGCAGGGGGACGCTTCGGCTCCCCGATGCCTCCGCGCGTCTCTGGGCTCAGCCAAGTTTCTTGTGATGCTGTGGGCAATTAATAAACTCTCAGGGAAGTGAATTGGACATTTCCTGGCTGTTGAGCCTTTGTTCGATTGTTTCTGAAGGCAGGGGAGGGGGGCGAAACCCGGGGACGGGGAAAGGGGTCCCATCCAACAGCCTTTTATGACCCTTACGAATGGTTTTAGGGCTTGCCCGTCCCGCGTGGCATCCGCGAGGGTGGCTTCCTTGTGGAAGGGCCGGGGGCCCGGCGGCTTTTGCGCACCTGGTGTCACTGGTGCCGCGCCAAGGGCGCACGGGGTCCTCCGAGTTCTCCGAGGGATCCAAGGACGTTTGAAGCCCAACCCAAGAGCGACAGGGAGTGTTCCGTTGGAAAGAGGAGGGCTTCAGGCAGTCACTGGTACAGGGAGGATGAACCCCAGGGTGGGTACCTTTAAGACCTCGCCAAAGCCTGAGCACGATGCGCGGAGGCCCACAAAGCTGCGTTGGAGCGGAGCTTTGCGACTCCGGACGTAATGAGGGCTTTGGAATCAAGGGTTATTCCCCAAACCGGGCGGAGAGGTACCAGCTGCCAGCCTCACTTGCCCCCTGCTGGGACCCTCTTCAGCCTTAACCACTTCCCGATCTGACCCTTTGGGAGTCACGACCCGCAACTCCCACCCCTTCACTCCCACCATGGGCGCTTGGGAGCTCAGCGCAGCTCAATTCCCAGTGCCCTCCCCCCACCCTTCCTGTTCCTCTTAGTTTGTGCTGAATCCTCAGGAGCCACTGATTGATCAGGACTATGAGACACCCCCCTTCCCCCCACCCGCAAAGAGCCTCTTGCTGTATTTTTTTTTTTTAATCAAAAGGTTGTGGTGACATGACCATATTGACATCCGCGGAGTTGGGGTTTGGTTGGACTAATAAGTCAAGGGCTGGATCAGTCTCAGACCCATCTGACCCAGGTCGTTAAAAGTCCTTGAAAAATTATGTCTCTTTTTCACTTTCCGCCTACTAAGAAGTTGAGTTAAATTGGCCTGTCATCAAATATTCTCATTTTGGCTACCAGTCATTGTTTAACTCTCAAAGAGTTGCTGCAGAATGGTCTTTGGCAAACTAGGTTTTTTTTTTTTTTCTGGAAAGGCTTAATTGTGTTTGAAAATAAGCTTAAAGGGTCAAAACAGGTACCACAAAACTCCCTTACCTGTCTACAGTTCATATTATCTACCCCATATTTATTTATGTTGGCTCTAAGATGTGCTTCTCTCCCTCCCTTCTTTGTCCCTGAAGAGTATTTTAGGATGAGGGAGAAAGGAGCAGAGGATTGTGATTTTTTAAAAAACTCCAATTTTGAGGGCCCACCCCCCAATACCACACCCCTTCCAATATCTATACCTCAATGTTTGGAGAAGCAGTTGAGATAAATCAAATAGTGACACGTTGACCGATTTCCTTGTGTAAGCAATATGCTTGGCATATGGCATTGTTATTTATGAATGACAGCATAAATTGTATCACAAAGTCTATTGCAGGGATGCTGTGGTTTATGGGAGAGCTGCTTTCCTGTCACCCACATTCAGCCTCCCTGGACGTC